GTAATATTTTTATGACAAATTATTGTGTTATTTGTTTTGTTTGTTTACATTGCAATAAAACCTTCTAGATCTTATGATAAAATAATTGTGCAGGTACAATGTGGGTTAAAATTATCATCAACACATAGGTGCTGAGCAAAGGCCTCTTCTCATACGAAGTTTTGAGTACAAATCACAACGCTTACTCAATGGTGGTTAGCGATTCTTAGCGATTTCAAATTTATAATTAGAAAGTACAAGTCCAGGCTTATGGATGTAAGATCAAAATGATAATGATTCTTTGGAAAATAATTTGATTATTGGCAACCGACATTTTCCCGCCTTACTGACGCTGCTCTGAGACTAAACGCCAGACACATGTACATAATGTTACAGTAAGCTGAGAGATAACTTTAAGTCATCATTACATCAGTGTACCAAATACGCGACTCCAGTAATGCCCTACAATAACATAAGCATGCTTAATCACACTATAAGCGCAGTGAACGGGGATTATAATTGTTAATGCCGCTGTTCCGCCGGTCCTTAATGTACGCGAGCCACAATCCTCATTACCGGCAATCCGGTTATATTCCAGTGCAATGTGTTCCCGTGAAAATATGAACAATTTGTCCCTCGCCGATTACTGTAATGTTCAACACTATATTTCTATTTACTATTTACACAATATTGTTATGACTTTGTTGTTTATAACGCTTGTTATGTGCTTTGTTATTAGATTTGACGACATATTTGAAAGCAAACAAAATAATTAGAACTCATTACGAAAGGAAATCGAAAAGAATCATCGTTGAAAGTGTTTTGCCTCTGACACATAAGCATACACCCAACTCAATCTTAATCAACTAGATCATCCCTCAACAAATTTCAAACTTGATTCATATTACAATAAAAATAAAAATAAATAAACAAACAAATATGGGAACAAAACGCGGCACATACGAACACCTAAACACAATGAAACATTAAAATTCCCCACAACAAAATCACCGCGGCCCAGCGGTAACGGGCCCACTTTATATTCAACAGAATCGATTGCTGCTGTAAAAGACTCTTTGAGTATTGAACAGAATTAGAATTTAAAATATATTGATTCCCTCATGAAATGGTCGGAGCTCAGATGAAATATTAAATGACTTGGTTTTTTTTCCAATTGGCCGCGCGAGCAGCTGAGGCGGTAGTAAAAACGATACGTGACTGCTTTCGACACTGCAAACTGTTCTAGTGTTACCGTATTAAGAAGTTGGCTTGATTGTGTAACGTGTGGCTTGGGTATATGTAATAATAATGTTCCCCAGTTCATATTATTGCAATTTATTAAACAAGGCATTTTTTTCAGTTTTAAGAAGCCAATCTTAGTTTAGGCATGACTAGTTTACTAGTTTACTTAGTATCTTTATTGTGCTATCGTGGTCTCCTCCAACAGCAAACAATTTTGTCTTTTTAATTGTAAACAAAAGTGTACCTAAATTCGTGCACCTATTTTGAAATATTTAAACATATTTCGTAGCACAGATGGAAGGGACTCAAGTAAATATGTTCACTAAAATACTGTGTAATTTAGTTCCTGTAAGTCCAATCTACACTGTAACTGCACAGTAAAAGAGAACCAATCTTCATTATAACAAAACGAACTTGTTATTTTTTACTTTTCTCGTGGACAAGAACAATAACTCCCGGTATAGTGTACAATTTCCATCGTGATCGGCACTCGGCACTCGATCACAATTGGTCACGCGTGCCTCGCGAGCGCTGTGCTGCCTCCATCGTGCCATGTGAGAGGTATTCTATATTGATTGGGAAAAATAAGAAGAACAGGCTTATAACCCACGATGGGTAGGGTAGGGTATTAGGGAAGGAAAAACTTGTAGCCTGTATATTAGCAATCTGTTGGGTTGAAACATATTTTTCATCCAGTTGGATAGTGGTCATCAGACTCCTTTGGCAACAATTGACATCAGAAACACTAAAAACTTTTGCACACTAACAAAAACACTGCTAAAACATTTACCTCCCAACCCTTCCCTTAAAATGCTAAGCCGCTAAACATTTTAAGCAAACATTTCCTATTGTGAATAAAAAATAAAGCAAATACGAGATAAACTTGAGAAGCAACATAAGTTATTCAAAGCGACACAGGGCGAGGCGGCAAAGTGTCGGTTTGCAAGGCCTAAGTTCTAAAGTAGTTCCTAAGTTTCTCCTAGCACCGACAACCCTTCCTGACTAATAGCTGTTTAGATATACCACTACGTATGCTATGTACTATGTTATATGTTCCACCACTTCGACTTAGTCATCAGCTAGTAAGTCTTCCTCGTCAAACTGCTGATGAAACTAAATAAGTAGAAGCCGCTGATATTATAGTTCTTAACTAAGCTTAACTTACACTGCAGCTGGGTAAAGATCATATTAACAAAAGATAGATAAATAAAAGAACTATAAAAACATTCCTATTTTTTACCTACTTTAAAATATACATACTGCACTTACTACTTGAATTTGACATTCGAAAAATTAAAAAATATTTTCAATATTACGACAAAATGCGATCAATAAAATAGTTGTTAGGCAGAAAAGAATCTTCTTATTTTGTTATTTTATTTTATTAGACTGTGTGTCATGTATTTTATTTTACTTTTCCTGTCAAACGTCTGTAGGAAAAAGATACAATAGAAATCTGTAGCACGAGTGTAAGTAAATAAATAATTAAATAAAATATTAAGTTGGAATACTTTAGGTTGATTTAAGACAGTACAACAATATTTCATGCTGTTTACCTCAATGAAACAAAAGTCAATTCAGTTACAGTCGCATAGCTTGTCTGCTATGGTGCAATAAACAGTGAGGGTATAAGTTGTACCTGGTTCAGTAAACTGCTGGAGAATATTAGTCAGCGCTGAGGTCCGGCAGTAATTACTCGGCGTGTTAACGAGCGTTTGATTGCGATGTAATGTCGCCGCATCCGACTAGGAGCACACTTTGTTCCCGTCACAACCTCTAAGTCTGCCAGAACTGTCGTTTATTTTATTTTATAGCGTACTTCTAGTCTATGAATAATTTACGATTAATTGTGTGTTGTGTGTTCCTATAAATTTTGACTCTTCGTATGTTTTCATCTGACCCCAATAACTATTTCATTGGGAAAGTTGATGGTGAGGTAAAGTTATCTTTTTTTTATGGTATAAGTCGGCAAACGGGTAGACGGATTACCTGATGGTAAGCAATCGGCGCCGCCCATGGACGGGTGCCAACACCAAAGAAGTTACGAGTGCGTCGCCGGCCTTTAGGGGATGGGAGTTGCGGATATAAGGATTGGGAAGGGATAGGGGAAGGGGAGGGATTGGGCCTCCGGTAACCTCACTCACACGGCGAAACACAACGCTGTGGGTTGTTTCACGCCGGTATTCTGTGAGGCCGTGGTATCACTCCGGTCGAGCCGACCCATTCGTGCCGAAGCTCGGCTCTCCCACACTTTATCGAATAAAAACAATTAGAGATTGTCTTAAACCACTATAAAATGAATCAATCAATAGATACCTTAAGCCGTAAGTTGAATTTTCGTCTTATAATTTATTTCCTTCGTCCATAACAGCAACAAATACTTTGAAACTACCCTGAGTACGGTACAAACTCATCAGTGTATAGGTAACGAACGCACGGCCCCGCGTATAAACAACATGAATATTTTAGGGACTGTATCAAAGTGCCCGATAAACGTCGGGATCCAATATCGGGTCCAAACAAAGGCTTACAAGAGTTTAGGGCACGCCCAGTGCACTGCATATTCAACGGGGCCAGAGTCAACATATTAGCGCAGGAGCCGCTGCCCGCGCTGACCAACCGAATATTTAGATATTTTTTCAATTTTGATCGTTTGGTAAGGATTCCTGTTATTTTTACCTAAGCACAGCATGCATACTTCCTTTTCCTACATTACAATTTAACGACTATAAACAACTAATTATAAAAAAAAAATTGTGTATGTATCGAAATAGATCAGTGATTAAGTTTTAGTTAAAAACTTATTTTCAAATCGAAACAGTATAAAACACTATCTGTTATTATCTATGTAGAGATCTAAAACAAGAAAAAACACAAAACATGTTTCTTGTAGAGAAGTTGAGGCGAGTAAGGGAAATTAATGATGTCGGTAAACAGTGAAGGCGTAACAGACTGATTCTAGTTTTGTGGTCGAAACAGATGGCAGCACTGAAGTTTCTACGTGTAACTGTTCACTGTCATTTGTGTATTATAATTTATGCTAAATATATCACTCGATAATTTGAATTGTTAATTTATTAACAAAGATTATTTAGTCACTGTATGGTGTTTGTATCTCAATTATATATAAGATTAAATTATGACCAATTTGGACTCTATCCATAATAATATATGGACCACAAAAAAACATACAACATTCTAAGGGTCGGTTTCTTGTGTTAGTTGTTTGCCACATAATAGGCACATAGTTCACATAAACTACTTTATATTAAATATAATCCGTGGCATGGTAACTATCTAGATTTTGTTATTGTAAAACTCATCTAAAAATGCACAAAAATACACAATACTACAATTTGAGCACTGGCTCCTGGCTTAAGTCCACGCATCGCTGCCCCGTGACCAATATGTGAGCGTAGTCCCATATACCTTGCATTTGCATACTTTACACGCACTCGTTAAACACCGCCATACTGTTATTTATTGGAATTTTAATCAGTCCACTAATTAATAACGTTTCACCAGCCAATATTCTGCATTATTGATCATAGATAACGCTCTATAATAATGTTATTAAATCAAGATTTGAAAATTATTATTTTACTCATTTATTATTTTCATTATTTCGGTTCGTTTGCATAATTTTGTTATCCTGAATTTCCAATGCAATTATAAAAATATTAAGTAGATAGCTAAAATAATAAAAAGTATATTAATGCATCTTGTATTAAAACAATTTTGCATTACAAATATTTTTCTGGTCATAAATGTTTAGATAGAAGATAGAACAATGTCGACACGAATGCCGTGTCATGTTTCACACAAATATCTGGACCAGGTAGTTGAGGCCCTTTCCCTTCTCACTCTTCAGCCTCACGTTGACGAAGGATGAGCCGATACCACCAGCAGTGACGGTCGGTACGGCCTTTGATTTGTCTATGTCTACTGCTGATATGCTCTGCAACAAAAATTGGAAATTATCATTACACGTATAGCATCTTTTTTTTGAGGAGCGACAATTGTTATTTAACTTCTCATAGTTAAGTTATATATCACCCCGTTTCTTCTCCTTCTCTAGGCCGAGGTCGCGGCCATAAGGCCACTATTTTATTATTATCCTAAACCGGCTGCTGTGGCGGCTCGGGTCAAACCGCTGCTATAGCAGCGTGTTTGAAAACACAATAGTGTACATGACGATAGCGATACGATAGTAATTGTTAACTAAGCAATGACCCATTCTTACATCCACAATCTCAGAATCCCCAAATCTATAATCAGCAAATCTCTAAATCTGAAGACGTACCGACGTACTTGTAAACCATCGTGTGCTGTGTTGAATTGCTAGAGAGTATGTCATAGTAATTAAAATTTAACGATTAAACCTCAGTTAAGTAATTTGCTGTTTTATAATATTAAAGCTGCAACTATGTAAAAGAACTTTATGTTTGTGCAAAAAAAAAATTAAAACGCACTCAAGAGTTCTTTTTATCCGACCAATGAATGCTGTTTGGCTTTTCCATTAAGATAATCCTAACCGGACTTACCTCTAACTAATTCAAGAGACTTACATTCCTGGAAACTAGTGCTGTATTACTTAACTCTTTTAAATACCTAATTCTTACTATCCATAATGCCAATAGACCACCATAGACAGAGCTGATGTTCAGCCGGGGTTGTGGGGCAAGCGCAATAAGGCACCATGGCTTCGGTCTTTGACCAGGATAAGGTTAGGGGGTTTTTAATCAGTAAGCGTCTGACACTCCCCCTCGCAACACCCTGGGCGGGAGAAGTGATTCGATAATATGAAATAACTCTAAATATAATATTCTAATTAATGTTTTTTCTACAACCATTACCTTCTCCTCATATCCAACCAAAAAGTTGATTAATTATTATTAACTTATTATAAAAATAAAAGCCAGCAAGAGCAATCCGTCGATTGTTGCCCCACACACAAAAAAAAAAAACACTCACCTTAATGGTCTTAGTGTTATTGGAGTTGTAGAACACATTCTTGGTCCTTACAGACAAAGGCACAGATCCCAGCTTGACAATCTCCTGGTACCCTAGCTGAGCATTAACACCAGATCCTAAATGCAAGTCCTCAGCATTATACAGAGCTAAACACAAACACAATACAGTAACTTGTGTCCACAGAGACATTTTGAGACGTTTGTACCCACGACTTGACTGAACAAAAAATTACTTGAAGTATAATCATGTAATTTTTCTATGACATTTATATTATATCCCGTGGTATACTTGAGATAAAATGATAGTGATAAGTTCGTGAATCATTTATCGAGAAGTTGATAAGCGATATCGATCGCTCACTGATAGGTGTATTATTGTGAGTTTGTTGGTACCATGATTCATTTCTTTGTTTCACATTACATCTGGGAAGGTCAATCCTTAGATCAGATTTTTAAATGACAATAATGATAGACTTATTTGATTTTTTGGTCTCCTAAAGTTTATTCATGACAACAGCTTGCAAATTGCACAAGTTACAAAGCCATTAATATAACAAACCCACGTGTTGGATAATAACCTCAAAAAACTACTTTTCGACCTTAAAATATCACTTAGCAGTTGAACACGAGAAAGTGATTCGACGCGCCCAATTCGTTGGGCACTACGGCTTTATCAAAAGTTGGACACATTAGTACCAGATGTGGGCGATGTGAAACGACTTCAACTTATTTTTTATCCCGTTCGCATTTGAGGGTTATGATGCCATCTATTATTGGTTGCCCTTTATTCGTCAGACGAGATTCGAAGGTAGTTTTTCTCTTATTATGTTATCTTTAATTAATTATAACATTTGTGCAGTCGATGTCAACGCTTTGCTAACGTTTGATACGAAACCCTTAAAATCAATTAGGTTTAAACCGCTAAATTCTGACTGACTATTCGGTTTTCATCTATACCTAGTTACATATGTTTTTATTTTCGATGAAAAACTAGATTTCTTTTATGAGACAGAGTGCATTATGAAAAAAAATCTAGAAAAACTAAGAAAGATGTAACGATATCCTTTTCTAAGGAACGTGAAGGAACAGTGACAAGCATTTTTTTGTGAATTATATTTTTTGCGCTGAATGACTGAATTATTTTGTTTTTATCATTTTCCTTATTGATAACCAATTCACAAGAGGGATTCGGAGGTAGATACTGTCTATCAAAATAAATTCTTTCTTTATAAATTGTCGATACGTAAAAAAAAAATAAACTTCATTTAAGGATTAAATTTGCATGTTCCGTGTTGTTTCAATTTTACATCATATTTTTTTACGTTTAAACCTAATATAGTTAAGTGAAAATTCTTCCACTTTCTGACGATAGAACTATAATGTTCCTGGGCAAACGTAGCGTCCAGGTCGTTCAAACTTGTAGGATTAACTTTGTGAAAACAATGACACACGAAACATGGTCTTATTGTAGTTTATAGGATACTAGCTTATCTTACAAATTTGTCTGTGTGAAATCCTACTAATAATATAAAAAGTGTGTGAGTATAGATAGCACATATTTGTTACTCTTTCACGCCAAAACTATAATAACTACACAATCACCGAAGGTTCCATTGTGTCCTTCGGGCGGTCCTACCAGTCAACGGCCAGAATTTTGAGTCTTTTAACTATCTGCATGTAAAATAAATCTTATTAAATCCTTAACTCGGTATTGGTAAACAAAGAAACATTCATATAACATTAGTATAGTTGGTATAGTTGGTATACGCTATATACATATGTATAGTGTGTTGGTGTTAGACGTCGCACAAGGTTCACGGTAAACTATTTCGGTAACTTTAGGTCGGATCAATCAATTTGTAGGTGGAACAAGAAATAGATACATTACCCTTATCTCATAGATAACATTTTATATGTGCGCATTTTTAATGTGTAGTATTATTTTAAATGGGATGACGTATTGGAGAAGACATGTAACGTGAGATGACAAGAAGAATACAACATATTATTGTTTTTATTTGTCTACTTCTAAATATTATTGTTTCATTGTTTCAGATGGTAAGAAAAATATGAAGATTTTAACATAGCTTCCGAGTTAAAAGCTTCGTGTATTATTGAGTTTTTTAAAAAGGATTTGTGATGAGTTGTGATTTCAATGGTATAGGTACTTCAAAATAAGTCCTTTCTCTGATGTAACTAAATTAAATAATTAAAAATTACAGACAAACATTTTAATAACATTATTTGTACCAAAAATACAAAAATTCATTACATTACACATTAAATAAAATTCACATTTCAATACGACTGACCATACATATTCAAATAGTAACGTGTAGTCGCGTACAGTGGGCAACGCAATGTGGTCATTACTTTTATTTTACGACGTGATAACACCGCACACTTGTTTGTAACGTTTGTAACACAACTTTTGGGGCCGGTGTACACTTTAAGCCGCGTGGAATAATGTCCCACGTATTATTTGGACGCTAGCCTACTTTACTGGAATGTTTGTTATAAATATTTATTTTATTTTCATGATGATAAGATTGTTAGTTAATTAATTAGGTAATTACAATTTATAAATTACTTTATAGGGCTAGTAGGTATTTATTTATTTTTAAAAAACGTTGCCCCACACTAGTATTTTCTCCTGTGTTATGGGTGCGGTTACAAATATACAATTTCACATGCACATGATACCCAGACCCGGAACAACAATTTGTGGAACACACAAAGTGTTGTTCCGAGTGGGAATCGAACCCGCGACACGTTGCACCGCAGCCAGTTGCCCAGTCACCGCGCCACCGTGCAATCAAATGATATAGCACAGCTTACAGATTTAGCATTAGCCAGTTACGAGTTAATGAATACAATTAAAATTAAAAGTATAGATAATATTTGAATATTTTTTTGAAGACAATATTATGCTAATATTTATTTGACAATAGATATGTATTGGTGGTCTGGAGGCTATTTCATTTCACGATAAACGTCTGTCCGATCAATGTTACGGTTGATATAAAATTTAACACTAAGTACTTGCCGGTTACTAGGTAGCTTTCAAGGACGAAGTTCTTTGACTCCACGAACAATAAATAGATAGCAAAAACATATTTATATCTGTAAATAAAAACACGAAAATAGACCAACAATATCCTCGCACAATTTTATTTCACCTTTCAAACCTTTATCTTGGGTAAAAACTTGATCCGAACAGTTGTTACAAAGGAGGTATATAGGGAAACAGCCGAAATGGGCCGACGAAGAATTATACCGTTATCATATAAATAAGAATTTAAAGCCTTCACGCCGGAGCACAGAGGGCGGGAGGAGCAAAGCTCACCGCATTATTTCACCCGCAATTTGTTTTGTTTTTATTACCTCTACAGATCGTGTTTTTATCTAGAGCTTAGGCTCAAGTGGCAGTATTAAAAGTAAATATTGTTATGTACAGTGTAAACCTATTTGCGGACAGTGCGACAATGTGTTTTGTTTAAACGTAGATAAGATAAGTATTCTTATAAATGATAAACAATCTATGCATAATACCACAGATACAAAACATAATAACACCAAAAATTAATAGAGAAATTCAACAAAGTCTGTACCAAAAAGTTTTAAACAACGTACAAAAAATAACTACCTCATTCCCCGTTAATTTCATAAATGCAAAAAAACCTTGAAATAACAGTGAATTACCCACTTTCTTATACTCTCGATGTTTCCCACAGTTTGAGGGTACTTGGGAAATATAATGACAATTCATTGCGGCTCCTAACAGTGGGGCGTGTCGGGAGGGTAAAACAAAAACATGAAGTAATCGCTAACTTGGGCTCTTTCGCGCGACGCCTGAGTTCCGCATAATTAAATAGTGATTAAGGCGCCCGGTAACGTTCACACTAAGATACTGCGACCGAACTTCTCCTCACAAGGGTTAATTGATTTTAATGTTATTTCTTTCTTAATTGCAATAGCTTTTTTGAAACGTCCAGGAAGGTTAAAGAATTTTGCATTACATTTAAGTGCGCTTATCATTTCAGTTGTATCTTGTCTAACTCTTTATTATCCAGCAGCTTTACCTGCACAACTATATACATATGGTGAAAATTTTTATAACGTAAGTTTTTTCAGACTATAATCTATCCCTGTGCCAAATTTCATTTACATCCGGGTAAGGGAGAAGGTACTGTCAGACTCTTACTGACTAAAACCCAACCCGGTGTTCCTCCAATAACCCATGTGTCGGAGGGGCGCCATGTGTCGGAGGATAACGTTAGCCCCTAGGATATAGATATAATTATTAGATAACTTTCTGTGTGCAAGATAGCTGTTATCATCTACTTATTAGTCACCAGATTATTGTTTTTTACCAGATTTGCAATGGATTTGTTAATGAACTGACATTCGTTTTGTAAGTAAACAATGCATAAAACAAAGGGGCATGTAATCGCACTAAAAAGCTTTTTGTTTTTTTTTATGAAATAGGTCGGCAAACGAGCAGACGGATTACCTGATGGTAAGCAAACAGCGCCGCCCATGGACACCCGCAACGGAGGAGTTACGAGTGCGTTGCCTACCTTTCCACAACGCTGTTTCACAATAGACTTTATTTATTCTATCAGAGCGTACATTTTTGTATGTAATTATCACTTGAAGAGCGTATAAGGGTAGAAATCGTAATATGAACGTGCAGTTCCGAGTAGACGGTGACTCGATCAATGGTCCGCGGCGTTTACGGCTCACGCACAGCCGATGCTCGCGTTAACCTTATTAATTACTTGCTACCTTCCGACACCTTGGCTGGTTCCCCTTAAATTTCATACAGCCCTTGATTAATTCAATGACGATGTATTATAGCATACCGCTTGTTTATCTTCCCAATATTTAGCAGCAGTTACGTTGAGAAATATCTTGATAGAAATCTTGTATTTTGTTGTAAGTATTCATTATTTTTGAATATTAGAATATACTTAATCTTTCATCATAAGTCATCGTAAAGAGGGAGGGAAAGCCCACATTACCGTCTGCCACTGATCGTCCGACAAAATGTGTTTACATCTATGTATATTTTATTGGCTTCTCATTTCCCACGACCCTACAAATTACAAGAGTGGCCAAGTACAGCCACTTACACGAGAAGTAATACAATGCATGTAAGCATCATCTATTTAAGGGACCACTCTTTGCTGGACCGAGGAGTGAGCACTCTTCGGTGAAGGGTTCGAGAAGACGCTAATTGTTCTGCGACTGGACTTATTACA